TGGAAGTCAATAGCTAGCTGATCGAAGAGGATGTCTGATGGAATATCTAGAAAATTAATCTCTAAATCGGGACAATGATGGAGATTTAAGCATTCGTGTATGTTTTTCCTATAAAGTCTGAAGTTGAGGCAATAGTATGGAACAAGAATCAAGTTGAATCGATCTCTCAATCACAAGCAATAAGGGATTAGATTTTAGGTCTCCTACTCTCAGGTTTCTTCCAAATTGGAGAGCAATTCTCCCTTATTCCCCTTTAAACTTGTTCCTATGGTTTAGAAACAAGGTTGCAAACAAGATTTATGAAGGAATCGAGCATTGAAAATGCCTAAAAACCATTCCCCCAATCCGATCTGCCATTGAATAACTTCAAAGTAAGCTTGAAAATTAAATCTAGGCGTACACACAAGTTCGTCGACCAATACAAATTCTAATAAGTTTTTGCACCTCCAAGAAGTATTTTCATAGAAGATCGTGAAGAAAAATAACCTCAGGAATGTGCCCGGTGGAAGAAAATCCGTTTCTTGTAGAATTTGGGGGTAAGTGTTGAATTTCTATCTGCGATCCAAAATTTCTTAGATTAAGATGATCAAGTTGAGTACCTTTGATGCAGGAATCCAGAGTTAAAACGTTGTAGAATGAGCTACCTAAGAAAAGGAAAATTCACGTTTTTAGACGAGTTGTAGACATAGGACTATTTTTCAAAATTAAAGTATCATGCAAAAAGACGTTCCTCCAAACAAATTCTTTTAGCTTGAGGAAACGATAAAGAAGAGGTTCTATGAAACAGTCGGGTCTTGAAAACTCCTAGAATCGGCTACCCAATAATGAATCACAAGAAAATAGATTTGAGACGAACTTTGGAGGCATCCATCTTAGACTACGATCCACGAGAAGGTATGAAATCAATCCCTAGCTCTTCCTTGTAACACCAACTTTATTTTCATGAAGAAATGAAGGGAAGAAACATTTTAAATCAATCCCTAGCTCTTCATTCCAGAGACCGATTCTTATGAAAAAATTTATGGTTCCAGAAATTGCACACAATAAGGAAAATGTGGAAGAAAATTTGAGGTAATTCGAATTCGAAAGCTCGAAAACAGAGGTCCCGACCATTAAGATAAGGTAAGTAGCCATCTTGGACTTTTCTTAAGAAATACTTGTAGCAATAACTTGGATTTTTGTATGAATCTGATACAAAGTATGAATTAAGGGTATATGAAAGGAAACCACAAAGAATCGTGAGTTAAGGCCCTTAACCGATCAAATTGCTCTAGGTTTAAGTAACACTAAAATAACCCCTCTAACCTTTCCTAATATAATTTCTATTAAAAAATATAAAATAATAATAAATTTAATAATATTTTTTATTGGATGTAATAAGAACCTACCATATAAATAGCATATAAGATCATGTAAGATTAAAAGCTTATTTGACATTTAAATTTATCTAAATTATGCGTTTAGTCCCCAACAAACTTTCAACTTTATCTATTTGGTCCGTAAACCTAAGTAAATGTCAAATAGGTCTCTAAATTTTCATTTTTTTAAGTTCAACATTTTACAAGCAAGAAATTGAACCATCAAACTTTGTGATCTTAATTCATACCCTATCTACTAAATTATGCTTAGGGTAGTTCATACCTTATCTACAAATGGTCAAAATGTATCTAAACAATATTTTGACCCATAACATAGTAGGACAAATTGTTTGTTTAGTAGGAGAATTTATGGGTCAAACTAAACTGAGTTTATTAGGAGTGTTGAAAATGAACTAATTTTGTAAATATTTGAATATTTGAGTTTAGTTTGTTCCCCTTTTATACTAGTAAAATTAGGTTTAATCTCAATTACTCCCATGGAAATGAAAGAAACATGTTATCGTTGTATTGAGATAGGTAACCACCATATTAACAAATGTTTTTATTTATTATTAGTAGTATTTTAGTTATTTTCAAAAAACCACCAATTGGAGCTATTGTTAACCATTTGTCATTGGTAGTAACACGTGTTCTAAAGTGTAATGCAATAGTCCATTAAATTTGAAGTTGATGAACAAGGACGTTTCAACATTTTATATTATTGTTGTAAATGAGAGCAATTATCGACATGTTTGGTAACGAGTTCTTATTGTTTATAATAAAAATATAACCATGTTTGATAACAATATTTTTTAATTAAAAAATATATTTTTGAAACATATGGGTATTATGGAAATGCCACTTGATTTTTTGTTAAGCAAAGAGGATACTATCCCATGTAGACCATTAGAATAGTCCTTGGAGTTTAAGCAACTTGGTGACTACCCTAACCCAAGAAGAGCTCAAAAATAGCACTTTATTAAGCAATTAGGTTACTATCTATGGATAAACTTTAGAATGAGCCTTTAAGCAAATTGGTTACTCTCTTATGATTAATAAGTAATTTGGATGCTTCCCTAAATTAGAATGAGTTCCTCTGGAGACCTTGACTTTTAAGTAATTAGGAGACCACCTTAATAACATGTATTAAGTAAGCTTATCACACCAAAAAAATTCCAAGGCACAAAGAATGCTAAGAACAAGGAACCAAGGTTCTAAGACTCCGAAACAAAAGAAACCCCTATTTTTCTCATGGTAAACCATGACCCAAACTACATTGCTTGAAGTGTAAGAAGTCTTCAATGCAAGTTTCAAAGTACGCCACTTCGAATATATGAAGCCTTGAGTATAAGCATTCAAACTATGTCGTTTGGAATATAGAAGGCTTGAGCATAGGTTCTAGACAGCGTCACTTGAAACATATGAAGCCTTAGACGTAGGTTTCAGATTACACCACATGGAACATAATAATCATTTGGTGTAGGTTTCAGATTGTGTCGCAAAGAATTCATTAAGCCCTTGATANTAAATTGGATGCGAATTACTGCTCTACATACAACCCTTGCATGTTTGCATGGACTCCAAAGCGAGTTCATATACGTATCATTTGACCTAGCCTTCAACTAGTGTACCCTCACGCCACAAAACAACTTGACAGAAATCATGGCATATACGTATGATGCAGGTCATAACTTTGTTCTTTCATAAGATAGCTTTCATGAATAACATATTTTGTTTAACAGTATTTCATAATCCTGATATAAACATGTTAACAGNTTGTGTCGCAAAGAATTCATTAAGCCCTTGATACATGTTTAGACTGTGTCTCTTGAAACACTTGAAGTCATGGACGTAAGAATTAAAAATTAGGATCAAATTATATTTTTCTTTAATTTTTCATAAAACATGAGATGTTGGTATTTATTTTTAGTTTCCGTGTAGAGAAATACTTTCTAACTTTTTTCTTAATTTCTCCTTTATTTTCTTTTTTGTTTTTAGTCTTTTTGAGCAAAATATGACCACTTAGGATCCATTTTCAACTTCTTTTTAGGAAAGATTCATTATCTAATTTCTTAGAACATGCAATTCACTTTGGTATTTATTTTTTCTAACCCAATTAAAGACATTTGTAACAAAATTGATGGAATTTTAATTTACCATGGTTTTGACAGTTAATCANAAAAATGATGAAAATTATTTAGAAAAAATTTATATTTTTTTAGAAAAATATAATAATAAAATATTAAGAAAATTACACATTACCAAAGTAACCCTTAAAATATGGATAATTATGAAAATGCCCTTCTTTCCACAATCACAACTTCCACTATCACCTTCTACACACAATCTANTTTTGACAGTTAATCATTCTTTGGCCTATTTGATTTACATATCAGGTGGGTATCCTCTAATCAATGGGCTCCACGTTTGGGACAAATCTTATAATAACTCTTGAAAATTCAATTTGCATACAATTGCACATATAATGAAAAGCGCCCGTGGCCTAATGGATAAGGCGTCTTACTTGTGGGTTCGAGTCCCACTGTCTTTCTTTCTTTAATGGATAAATAATTATGTTTTTTTTTTTTTTGAAAGAAGATGAGACTTCAAAGAAATAGAAAAAATAAAAAAACTAATTGTAATCTTAAAAAAATGATTCGAAGGCATTGACGACACACAAGTTACAAATTTCAGACTCGATTGTCTGTGTCAGACTCAAATCGTGACTCGTACCCTATGTGCCTGACCCAATTTGAGATTCATACCACCTTTACACATGCGACCGCCTCTGCGCGTATGTAGTCGTACATGATATTTGTGCATATGTTGGTCCATAACCAACGAGTGATACTTCTTTTTCCATTTGTTTGACCTTTATTTGTCTGTATTTTTCTCGATTTCGATATTAACCTAATTTTAATGGGAAATTATGTCCAACCAGAAGAATTTTAGAAATTTTTAGCACCTATTCTATGGAAAATCGACCTAGACATGATCACTCACATAAAGTTGTTACTACATAGATGACATGATTAATGTGTACGTAAAATATTCATATAAAATATTTCATAAAAGGTGTCATGGGCTCCCACGTTCCTAATAAAATCTTTAAAACAATAATGCGAAAAATAAATCATGTGAAGTTTAGATAAAATATTGAAAAATAAAAACATTGACGTGAACTAACCTAAGGACTACTAAATAGACATAAATTGTGTCTACCCTACCTCTAGTTCCATGGCTTTCGTCACGGCGTTGCCATCCGTACCTTTGTGCCTAACCTTTACCTGAAAAATAAAAGTATTACGTGGTTTAAGTAGTTTAAGAAATACGTAGTAAGTAACTGTACATTTGGTGTTTAGAAATACACACACATGTGACATGATAGGTTCTAATGGCATTGCCTTAGGTAGCTTTCCAGTTCCAGCAAGGTTGGATGTATAGTACTTTTCTACACACGACCGAACCACGAGCACGAGGACCCACTTGAGGGCTCATGTATTGCCTAGGCCTATCTTAATGGACTAGCACTCGCTAATGTGCTTTCAGACACCATGAAGGGAAAGGACCTGCGTAACATTGGGACGAACATAATTGTCGTAAGTCGTAAAGTACACATTTGTATTAATCATAATAGAAAAGTATCACGATGCATATGACACACAAAAATTCATGAGGTCCCCATGCCTTAAAATAACGACATAAATTTATAATGCAAGTCAAACCTCCAATTCCATTTATAACGTAATTATGCAGACATAATTCTTATCAAATCATTCACATACACGTCCTAACACATCATAGATTATCATCATAATAACATATTATTATACATAGTATAGTCACACTATAGTCTAGCTTATAAACATGGCATAACACGACATTGGATAGCATAACAATCATAATTATGACATGCTCAAGGGAAACACGTATGCGTTAAAATACGCAATATAATTCATCCAACCAAGCAAATAATAGAGTCACTTACTTGATAGGTTTAGCAAGGGTTGTTAGTTTATCTTTGGAGCTAGTCTAATTTGGTGGTGGCTTAATGAGACATTTTGGGATTAATAAAACATATAATATGTTGCATGAACACTTATTTTGATCGAAGATGAAGCACGATGTTCACAAGTTTTGTAGTCAAGAATAATGTTAAGGGATTATGCAAAGCATGTTCCTGGCTTATTCTTTACGGAAGTAGTANAATTTGGTGGTGGCTTAATGAGACATTTTGGGATTAATAAAACTTATAATATGTTGCATGAACACTTATTTTGATCGAAGATGAAGCACGATGTTCACAAGTTTTGTAGTCAAGAATAATGTTAAGGGATTATGCAAAGCATGTTCCTGGCTTATTCTTTACGGAAGTAGTTGTAGTCAAGAATAATGTTAAGGGATTATGCAAAGCATGTTCCTGGCTTATTCTTTACGGAAGTAGTAAGATTACATGGAAACCCAAGAATAATTGTTAGAGATACGGATGTTAAACTTTTAAGTCACTTTTGGAATGTATTGTAGGGTAAGTTGGGTACTAAGTTGTTGTTTTCAACTACATGTCATCCTCAGATAGATAAATGTATTGTAGGGTAAGTTGGGTACTAAGTTGTTGTTTTCAACTACATGTCATCCTCAGATAGATAGGATAGTTATTATTTCTAAGAATATTAAGTTTTGAGACGAAAGTTTTCATTTGCAGAGAGAGCAATTCATAGTACCACTCATTGTTCTCCTTTTGAAGTTGTTTATGAATTTATTCCACTTACGCTTCTTGATTTGTTTTCTATTCTTTCTAATATATTTTTTTTGTGAGTGAAGCAGTACAAGTAAGACAAATTTGATCAAAGTATTGCACAAAGAGGTGAAGGGTTGCTTCAGGAATTAACAAAGAATGAAAGAAAATTATTTTTCAACGATGACCGGCTTTGGATACATTTTCACAAAGAGCGATTCACATCTCAAAGAAAGACCAAGTTACATCAAAGGGGATGACCCTTGTCAAGTTCTTGTTCTTAAAAGAATTAATAAAAATGCCTATAAAATTGATCTTCTCGGAGAAATTTCAGTATGTTCTATTTACAATGTTAATGACTTGACTCCTTTTGATGTAGGTGATAATTTTCGTGATTCGAGGACGAATCCTTTTGAAGAGAGGGAAGATGAACACGGAGCATTATATACTTTCAAATATATGTATATTCTATGTATATCGAACATTATATACTTTTGTTTTCAAATATCCTAAATGCATGTATAAATCATATTCAATAAAACTATATTATTAAAATTTAAAAAGAAACTCATTCATGTTATAATATATGTATTTAAAAATAGTATAGAGTGAATGAATAGTTTAAAAATAGTATAAGATATTGAGGTATGAGAAATTTAAAATATATATAATATATATAAAAAAGAAACTAAAATTAGTAATGTAATAAAAAATGAATCCAATTGGAGTCAAACTTACACATGCTGATTCGCCCAAATCCAAGCTCAGACGACTGGACTCATGAGATTTCGGTTCTATCAACCCATGCACCAAGGAGAACTGGAATGTTGTACAAGATTTAGAAGCCGTAAGTAATTTTAGCATTAATCTCGCAAGTTTTAAAAATATCTAAAACAAAACTTTTCTTTAGGTAATTTTTAAAATTTCTAGTTTAAAGTACATAAACATATTTTTAAAATTTTTACCAATAAATCTATATAATGGCTATAATAATATTTTGGGATAATATTTTGGTTATAATGTATTTAAATAAAATATAATTTTAGTAGTGACATAATATTCGATGCCATAAACTTTATTTTAAAATATTTAACGATCTTTTATCATTATTTTCTTAATTTCTTTTTCATTTAAAAAAGTGAACCTGATTCTAAATAATGAATGGTCAAGCTTTAAACTTTACTTAAAAGGAATTAATAAAATAAAAAACCAGTTAAGAAAATTAAGAAAGTTTAGGTGACCATCCACCTTGTTATGGAATATATGTTGTAATAACAAAAATATACACAACACTGTGTTTAAATATAACCACGTACCACTCATTTTGGCTATATTTATGTATATATAAGAGATAGAATCCAATTAAGTTTGTAAAAAAGTGTGAACAATCTTGGAGAAGAAAATGAAGTCTGTAAGCATATTCTGTTTAATCGTGTTGTTTACCTTGGCATCGAACAATACAATGAAGTTTTGTTTTGCAGAATCTAAGTTACAATTATCGTTCTCTCGATGGAAAGTGACTATTTTAAATGGGATGACTGCTTTAACTTTAATTGTTCATTGCAAGTCAGCAAATGACGATCTGGGAGAGCACGTACTCCGCACTGGAGATAATTACAACTGGAGTTTTAAAGAAAATTTTTGGACTTCTATGTTGTTTTCGTGCCATTTTAGTAGCAAATATGGACAAGTTAATGGAGATGTTTTTTGGCCGGTAAAAGGGTATTGGTTTAATGATCAATGTGATGATAATAATTGCATTTAGGTCGGTCGAGAGGAAGGTATTTACTTGTATTTTGGATCTCTCAATATATTCAAGTTAATGTATCATTGGAAATGATCCACTTTAACTTTCATTCAATTTCAATAAATAATTTTATGAATAAAAATGTTAGTTATCTTTTTTTGAGGTTAAAAGGTTCCATTCTAATGAAATTTGATTTTCAAAATTTTAAAACTTATATCATATCTTCAAACTAATTAGTTTGGATAGGATATATAATTTATATATAAAGGATATATAAAGTAGGAAGTTCTATTTAGGAACTTTGAGTGATTGAATAAGGAAAGAGAAGACGACTACTTTAGGTTTGAGTTGCGAGAGAAAAGTTCCAAAATTCTCAAAACTCTAGCTTGGCCACAAATCAAATACAGGAAGTCACTCGAAATTTTCTATTTAATTTCGCTGATGTATACGAACCATAAACATTGAATATGTAGAAGACTTCATTTAAATTCCATCAAACATCATGAGTGGACTTGTTGCGATATGGAGAGATCTGCTACTAAAGTTGTTGGGATAGAGAGAGATCTGAGAGATATATTTGAAAGATAGGATAGAGATATATATGGGAGATAATTGGTAAAGATTGGATAGAGGTATATTGGTTAGATTATATGTTTGTTAAATCTTTGGAAGCCATATTTAGTAAATTGAAACCACTCACGTAAACTCTTTTCATTCTATGTACTCTCTATTGTTGTACAAGTCATAAATAATAAAATTTTAGCCAATATTCATCTTTGTATCTTCTCTCTCCGGTTCTTTGTGTTCATATTGATGAGTGTGTGCGAGCGATCCTAACAATTGGTATCAGAGCTAACAATTGGTATCAGAGCTAACAACTGGTATCGATTCTAATAGGACTTACTTGTTTCGAAAACATCTTTAAAACGACACAAGAAAAGACTAAATAAAATAAATAAACGTTCAAGTTAAAAACATCTTATTCTAGCCTAAGTCTAAAAAAAATAAATACCACTATCCTATGCATGTGTCATGGTCTCGAGTTGCGATGCCGTCGTCAGCTATACAGGAATACCTTGCCTTAACCTGGAAAATGTAGTAGCACATGACTTGAGTATTCTTGAGTATTTAAAAAAATACTTAGTAAGTGACCCCACTATTGGGGTTAAATGCAAGAACATACGAATGCAATGATGGAACCTATCCTTTAAATCTATTTACATACAGTACTGTCCTAACGGGTAATTTGGACGTGTACCATATACTCACACAGCCTGTAAGCTGACTAGTCAATTCGCACACTGCTAGGCAACTTTCCTTGTCGGGCGAGCATACTCTAGGAGTTCCTTAGGCCGGATACTCGTTAGAACTAGTAACCGTCACGGCAGCGCTATGCAAAACATAACGATCGTTGTCCTGTCATTAGATGTATGTGTCTGTACCCTCTGATGGAATAGGGGTATCCCCAAATGCATGAGCACACATAATTGTGGGTCCATACTCGCACGTATGGGGCGATGTTTATAGTATATGGTACACATCCAAGCAACCCGTTAGGATAGTACTATAGGAAAATAGACTGTAATGATAGGTCTCATGATTGCATTCACATGTTCTTGCATCATAACATTGATAGGGGGTCGTTTACTGAGTATTCTTAAAACACTCAAGCCTCGTGCTACTATATTTTTCACATAATGGCAAGGTGCCCCTGTAAGACTAACGGAGGCTTCACAACCACGAGTTCGTGACACATGCATAGGATACTTTCGCATAATAATTTAATAGTATAGGTAAGTATATGTTGAGTAGTATTTTCATCTGACAATATTATAGATTAGTATAGGCTAAATTGTATTTGCATTTGACAATAGTATAGATCAGTCTGGTCTGAGTTGTATTTGCATTTATAGTTCATTGGATGTTGATAATTTGGTT